GGGCGAGGCGCCATTCGGTGAGTGTGGTCCAGAGGAAGCCCGAGTGCCCCGCCCCTCCCTTTCTTCCTGGACCGCGCTGCGCAGCGCCCTCCCCCACCTCGGACCCCGGCTTGGGCTCCGGGCTCCGACTCCCCTTGTAGGATGTCTGCTGTGTGCTTGCCACTGTCTTTCGCCCCCTACGCGGCCTCGGTAGGTTTAGGGAATTTGGAAATTCTTTGGTCTTGCTCTCCAACTCACAAAGGGGAAATCGAGGCCCACGGGGGCGGGCCCCTCCTCATCAGCATCTCTACACAGACGCCATGGCCGAGCCCTTAAAGGAGGAAGATGGCGAGGACGGCTCTGGGGAGCCCCCCGGGCCGGCGAAGGCAGAGCCCTCCCACACCACTGCCTCTGTCGCTGCCAAGAACCTGGCCCTGCTCAAAGCCCGGTCTTTCGATGTGACCTTTGACGTGGGGGACGAGTACGAGATCATTGAGACCATAGGCAATGGGGCCTATGGGGTGGTGTCTTCTGCGCGCCGCCGCCTCACGGGTGAGCTTCCTGAGCCTTTCACAGATGTGGAAACTGATTCCCAGAGGGAGCGAGAAACCTGCCTGGATTCAGCCAGGGAGGAGCAGAGCTGGGCTGTGCATTCTGATTTACTCAATTCTTACTGATAGGCACTTGGCCCCTTGTTACGTACCATTCTGAGGTGGGGCCATGCTATCCCCTGCTTTTTCCTTAGAAAAATAATCCCAGTTAGACCAGAACCAAGAGCTGACCCTAAATACCAAGAATGTTCTAGAGCCAGAAACTGGCACAAGGAATTGGTGGGATGGTTGATATCTGAGATGGAGAGACGATATAGGGAGGAGAATGAACACAGGCATTAGAGTCAAGACTATCACTAAACAGCTGAGCAACCTCCAGCAAGTTACTGAGCCAGGTTTATTCACCTGTAACTGAGCTATTAGTACCTGCCATGCTTGGCTTATGGTAGCTACCCAATGTATGGTAGCTGCCACTGTTTGTATCTTAGAAGGGAAGTGTTGAAAGGTCCTGTAGCTACACCAAAGTGCCATCTGGTATTTGCCTTTTCCCTGTTCCCCAGGCCAGCAGGTGGCCATCAAGAAAATTCCAAATGCTTTTGATGTGGTGACCAATGCAAAACGGACCCTCAGGGAGCTGAAGATCCTCAAACACTTCAAGCATGACAATATCATTGCCATCAAGGACATCCTGAAGCCCACTGTGCCCTACGGAGAGTTCAAATCTGTGTAAGGAGCAGGATGGGAGAGGGAGGCATATCATTTCAGAAGGCCAGGGCTGTATTTTCGAAGTTCTAGAAGGGAAGCTATATTGAATGTGAGGTGGATTGGGAAGATTACTGCAATTCTAGGACTAGTACTTCTTTAGGGAGATGACTGAGATAGCTGTTATTTCTCTAAGGGTACAAGTGTTACAATTTTATAGAATCTGAGAATGTAGGCTGGCAAACATAGGACATTCATCCTACCACTGTATTATCCTGTTGTCATAGCAGACACCATTAATTGATCACAAAATTTATTGAAAATGGGCAAGCTTTCACAGTTTTCACCGTAGTCCTTTTAAACAACCACTACCACTTCCCTCATTCTTTTCTTCCTCAAGTTGCTATACTGTAGTGTCTGGCCTCCCAGTCTTGGAGAGGCTGATTTGCCACTGCTCACAGCTCTGTTGTTTTCCCAGAAGTCTCCTAGGCAGCCACTATTAAACAATGGAGTTAGCTCCAAGACTAAACCAGTTGGCCTGTCCTGGTATAGTTGAGCCTCATCTGATAGAAAAATTAGGTCTGGGGGAAAGTACTCTGACAAGCTCATAGAAAGGATGTAGAGAATCTAGAACTGGTGCTCTTCCATGCCATGCCCTCAGTCCTTCAAGGTCCCAGGGTAATGCCATTGCCTATCTAGAGTCAGGAGTGGGTGTTAAGAATGGGTCCTGTGCCTATAATGTGATTATTTCAACTCATGCCTCTCTTTTCCAGCTACGTGGTCTTGGACCTGATGGAGAGCGACCTGCACCAGATCATCCACTCCTCACAGCCACTCACACTGGAGCATGTACGTTACTTCCTGTATCAGCTGCTACGGGGCCTTAAATACATGCACTCAGCTCAGGTCATCCACCGGGACCTCAAGCCCTCCAACCTGTTGGTGAATGAGAACTGTGAGCTCAAGATCGGTGACTTCGGTATGGCCCGGGGCCTGTGTACCTCTCCCGCAGAGCACCAGTACTTCATGACTGAGTATGTGGCTACTCGCTGGTACCGTGCCCCAGAGCTTATGCTCTCCCTGCATGAGTACACACAGGCTATTGACCTCTGGTCAGTGGGCTGCATCTTCGGTGAAATGCTGGCCCGGCGCCAGCTCTTCCCAGGCAAAAACTATGTGCATCAGTTACAACTGATCATGATGGTGCTGGGTACCCCGTCACCAGCTGTGATTCAGGCTGTGGGGGCTGAAAGAGTACGGGCCTATATCCAGAGCCTGCCGCCACGCCAGCCTGTTCCCTGGGAGACAGTGTACCCAGGTGCTGACCGCCAGGCCCTCTCACTACTGGGCCGCATGCTGCGGTTTGAACCCAGTGCTCGCATCTCCGCAGCTGCTGCCCTTCGTCATCCTTTCCTGGCCAAGTATCATGACCCTGATGATGAGCCTGATTGTGCCCCACCCTTTGACTTTGCCTTTGACCGTGAAGCCCTTACCCGAGAGCGCATTAAGGAGGCCATTGTGGCTGAGATTGAGGACTTCCATGCACGACGTGAGGGCATCCGCCAACAGATCCGCTTCCAGCCTTCCCTGCAGCCTGTGGCTAGTGAGCCTGGCTGTCCAGATGTTGAGATGCCCAGTCCCTGGGCCCCCAGTGGGGACTGTGCCATGGAGTCACCTCCTCCAGTCCCCCCACCATGCACAGGTCCTGCACCTGATAGCGTTGATCTGACTCTTCAGCCACCTCCACCAGCCAGTGAGCCTGCCCCACCAAAGAGAGAGGGTGCCATCTCCGACAACACCAAGGCAGCTCTCAAAGCCACTTTACTGAAGTCCTTGCGGAGCCGACTCAGAGGTGCCTTGGTGCAACAGCTGGCAGGGCATTGGGGTGTTAGAGGGGCCCTCTGGCTCAGACGAGACTGTGGCCTCTTACCTTTCTCCTACCTGACTTCCTGCAGATGGCCCCAGTGTACCCCTGGAGGCTCCTGAGCCTCGAAAACCAGTGACAGCCCAGGAGCGCCAACGAGAGCGAGAAGAAAAGCGTCGGAGGCGACAAGAACGAGCCAAGGAACGGGAGAAGCGGCGACAAGAGCGGGAACGCAAGGAGCGGGGAGCTGGAACCTTGGGGGGCCCCTCCACTGATCCCCTGGCTGGACTGGTGCTTAGTGACAATGACCGAAGCCTGCTAGAGCGCTGGACTCGAATGGCCCGGCCCCCTGTCCCACCTCCAGCTCCAGCCCCAGCACCAACACCATCCCCAGCACAGCCCACCAGTCCTCCCATTGGCCCTGTAGCCCAGCCTACTGGTCCCCCACTACAGCTTGCAAGCTCCACCCCTATTCCTGCATCCCAGCCTGCTTGCTCACCCCCTGCTTCCCACCCTGCTGGCCCTCCTGGACCCATCTCTGTCCCTGCATCGCTCCAGACTGCTCCCTCTACTAGCCTTCTGGCCCCGCCGTCGCTTGTGCCAGCTTCTGGGTTGCCTGGCCCCAGCACCGCAGTTCTGCCTTACTTCCCTTCGGGTCCACCCCCTCCAGACCCTGGGGGTCTCCCTCAGCCTTCCACATCAGAGTCACCTGATGTCAACCTAGTGACCCAGCAGTTGTCTAAGTCACAGGTAAGGGAAGAGACCCAGGCTATGGGGACACCTAGACCTGGGCCCATAGGCTTGGGAAGCTATCGTTCTGTGAAAACTGAGCAGCAGATGAAGCTTTCTCTCTGAACTTACCCCTTTGCTCTTAGAGCATAAAACTTGAAGACCAATGATATATTTCCTGGGAAGTACCTGGCCTAGGGATGGTCCCCAACTGGCACTCAGTGATTGCTGAGCCTGGTGTTGGCCCACAGGGGTGTCTAGGCAGTGGTCAGCATCAGGGGAGGGGTGTCCTGTTCTTGCTGACGTGTGTATTGTAACCATCATCCCCTACAGGTGGAAGACCCCCTGCCCCCTGTGTTCTCAGGCACACCAAAGGGCAGTGGGGCTGGCTACGGTGTTGGCTTTGACCTGGAGGAATTTTTAAACCAGTCTTTCGACATGGGTGTGGCTGACGGGCCACAGGATGGGTAAGATGGCTGGACTGAGCTCCTGGAATGGGACTGCGGGGAAGGGTTCCTGGTACAGAAAAGGCTTGCTGGTGGGACGGCTGCCAAGCTGGCCTAGGCTAACAGCACCCCTCCCTGATTCCCTTTTCCTGCAGCCAGGCAGACTCGGCCTCACTCTCAGCCTCCCTACTTGCTGATTGGCTTGAGGGCCATGGCATGAACCCCGCCGACATTGAGTCTCTGCAGCGTGAGATCCAGATGGATTCCCCAATGCTGCTGTCTGACCTGCCTGACCTCCAGGAGCCCTGAGGGCCATAGCCAGTGCCTTGCTGCAGGGTAGACCCAGCTCCAAGGTCCCTGGGAGCATTCCTGGGGTCTAGCCCCCAGGCCCAACAGGTGAGGTTCAGCTTGGATTATTCTGCAGGTTCATCTCAGACCCACCCTTCAGCCTTAAACAGCCACCTGAGCCACTGCCGAGCCATGACAGGATTGGGAGGCCTGACTCCCTCTGAACAATCCTTTTCAGTATTGTATTTTTATTATTATTGTAATATTATTATACAGATTTTTTGTCATTAAAATGAAGCCTGTGAAATACAAGGTTCCCTTTAATGCCTGACTCCAGGTGTCATTTTTAGAGTTGGGGGTGGGCAGGACACCATAAGTAGGGGTACAAAGAGGAGCCAAGTTCCCACATTTGTGGACCAAGCAAATAGTTGTATGCACAAATTCAGGATCTGAAGGTTTATTGAGACTTTTCTCTCCCCATCCACTCCCAGCCCCATAGCTTGTCTTCTGCTGCTCATATGGCCAAAGCTTAATCCCTGGGGGAGGTGGGGGACCTTGTTCCTGTGCCTACCTTGCCTGTAGCGGTTTCAGGGTGTCTTGCAGTAACTGTGGTGAATACTGTTTTAGCATGAGCTTTGGGGGGCTTGGATAGGCAGGTGGAGGATGTGGAATATGGTGGTGAGGTGGGGCTGAGGGTCCACAGTGTTCACTGTAGGGAGTAAGTTGGTGAAAAGGAGGACAAGGACGGAGGCACTCTGAGAGTGGACGGAGGGCGTGCTGGGTTGCTGTGGCTGCCCAGGTGGCCTGGAGTATGCTGTGGGTGCTAGTGAGATTGCATTGCTCAGTCTAGGTGGCCCAGACAGAGTGGTCTACAGTGAGGAAGCTGCCTAAAGGAGGACACAAAAGCCCATGCTTGGAGGGTGGCTCCTGCTTCTCAGCTGTTTGGACAGGGTAGAGGCAATTCTGAGCCTCATGCAGCCCAGCCTGGTCCAGGCTTGGGCAGCTGCTGGCACAACAAGTCTTAGGTAGGGGAGCAGGGCCTGGTTTCGAAATGGTTACCTTGGGTGAGTGACAGGGGCCAGCCAAGACTGCCTGTGACGCTAGTGTGCAGGGGGCAGCAGAAGCATCATGCTGGGCCTAGAGGGCAGAGGGATACTCAGAGATGCAGGGAAGCCAGGGGAGGGCAGCAGTGGGTTGGGGCCGGCCTGCTCCTCAGGCCCGGCGGATCTTCATCTCAGTGCGCTTCAGGGAGTAGTAGAAGCCTTTCCATTGGGCCCAGTTGATGCCATTGGCGTAGGAGAGATGGGAGCCACCCAGGTAGAATCCATTTAGGTTGGCGAAGTGGCAGCTGCGGAACCAGAAGGCTCCTGAGGAGAGGGCTGCACAGTTCTGCACGAAAAGGTCCTGGTCCCGGTCAAAGGTAGAAAACTTCTGACCACTGTGATAGGACAAGGAGTCACCTGGCAGAGGGAGAGAGGATGGGGCTGCTGAGGCAGGGCACTGATCCCTCTGCTGGGACAGAGGGTGATGGGCAGTGACATGAGACACTGAGGGAAATCATGGGGCGTCCTGGTGGGGTGAAGGGCACCCTCCCTGAGCCAGATGTCTGTAGGATAGATAGGGCTCTGCAGTGACAATAAACAGCTGCTCCTTCACAGGGTGGCCTGGAGCAGGGCCAGGGCAGCTGCTTTCAGGGCCCGGGCCGGAGCTGCCTGGGGCTGGTTGGGATCCAGCTGAGGCTCTGCCAAGGCCAGGAGGGATGAAAGAGGGACCTCAAGGGGGTCATGGGTCACCCGGCAAAGCCAGTCCTGCCTTTCCCCTGGCAGCCCTGCTGAAGCCGGCACAAGGGGTACCTGCCCCACCGTCCTCGAAGCCTGCCACGTAGAGTGTGTAGCCGTCCTCCTCTGCACTGACCGCATTGGGGGAGATGGAGAAGTCAGCATACTTGGCGTATGCTGTGTTGTTCTCAAAGTCCTCCAGGTCCACTCGCAGCTCGTATTTCTGCTTCAGTGTCAGGAGATGGATGTTCTGCAGCCCTGGGGGTGCAGGGAGCTGCTCAGTAGAGCCCTGGCTGGCTGTGAGGTGGGCCCCAGCCCTCCTGGCCCCTGCCTTACCCAGCCAGTACTCCCCGTCTGCGCGGCCAAAGCCCAGCTTGTAGTCGTTCCAGCCCCGGAAGAAACTCACTGAGCCATTGAATCTCTTCTGGAAGACCTGGAGTGGAGAGAATAGGGACTGTCCAGTCGAGGGTCCAGTGGGTACGGGCCCCAGCCACTTGAGCCACTAGGCATGAGCCTGTACTTGCTAAGGCTGGCTGGTCAAAGTGAGTAAGAGTTGAGGAGGTGCTAGAACAAAGTGCATGCTGCTGCCAGGCCCCTCACTGAGCAACTGCTTTGTGCACCCACCTGGGCTCTTCACCAACTAAGAGGCAGTCAAGGAAGGAGGTGAAGAAGGGGCTGAGGATGTAATTCAGGGCTTGCCTGTTGTGCATGAGGCCCTGGGGTGCATCCCTGAAGCGCAAAACAAAACTCAATACAGAGTGGCTGAGTGAATCGTGGTACTGGCTCAATGACTGCAGGCAAGTTACTTTGGAGTCACTTATTAACCTATATTAAGTACTCACAATTCCTAAGAAAGTGGCTTGGGGAGAATCACACTATTTTATTTTTTTTATAATCACACCCAACTGAAAAACAGGTGAAGCTCAGATAGGAGTAAACCGGGTCTGGCCTCTCCGTCCACTCACCGTCCACCTGCCTCCCTCGGTGGTCATGTCGCAGAAAACAGGTACCGGCACGCTGGGGCCCGAGGGGTAGATGAGGTACACGCCGTCTGCCTGGTAGCCCTGGGCATAGATGTCATCGCAGTCCAGGGGCAGCTGCAGGCAGGACTTCTCTAGAGCTGGGGAGGGAGAGGGGGACTAAGACACCCAAGTTTGTCTCAATCCCAGGGTTGGGGGACTCCTGAGGAAGTGTGAGGTTTCTTCAAGGGCACTGCTCAGGGACCCTTGCATCCCCTGCTACACTTCGTGGCCCGAGTATCCCCTTAGCCAAATCTGTTGCCCCAAGATCTGCTGGTGAGGCCTGTCTGGGAGGCATGGCTGCTTACCGTCTCCCCGGATCCCGGTGGCCTGGTGCGAGCACGGAGGCACAGAGAGAAGCAGCAGCGGCGGCAGCAGGGCCAGGAGGGCCTGGTGACAGGAAACAGTCAGCAAAGTCCCGGCCCCAAGGATGCCCGTTCTCTCTGCCTTTGCCCCATCGTGTCTGCTGCTCTGCCTGAAACCCTTCTGTGTTCTTTGGCCCCTCCTTTCACTCTCTAGTGACCCCGCTTTCCTGGACAAAGCCCAACACCATTGGGAGCTTTAGTCTCAAACGAACACCTATGCTTTCAGAGTCCACCTATGGGCAAGGTGCTACTCCACAAGTGGTCTTTGCTTCCGAGGCCAGGAGCTCCCCACTATGGACCCAGTACCTTCATGTTGTCGGTTCGGCTCAGAGCGGCTGGTTGTCTGAGGCCCCAGACTGCAACCGCCCAAAGTTATGTGCTGGGCCCCTGGCCAGCCGCCTAGGCCCGCCCTCCGCTGGAGCTGCAGAACCCCCTCTCCACATACGACCAGCATCAGCTTACACTATCTGGCCAGGGGACCACCTGGGTCTCATTAGGCCTGTCATGCTACAGTCCAGATGTTAACTCCCTGCTGGCCCTGATTGCTCCCTGGACCCTATTCTGCCATCTGCTCGGCTGGACCTGTGGGCCCCTGGTACCCCCAGCTGGCCCCAGCCTACCTCTGCTTCCTGACAGCCTCCCTGCAGAGGTCTGTTTCTTCTCTCCCTCCTGGCCTGGCCTGGGCTTCATCAGCCACTGGGGGAGGGCTGTGAGGGCAGACTTGGGGGGTTGGTGTGTCTGGATTCCAGGGAGGGAGACCGTAGGGATGGCAGGCTGGGGGCAGCTTCAGCACTCCTGATGTGGGAGCCTGCTTGGGCTGGTGGTGGGGGATAGGGGCAGCAGGGGCCAGGCCGTCTCCTGGCAGGCCTAGGACATTGCTGAGCCATGAGCACAGAGCTGCAGGCGGCCAACTGCTCTGTCTGTCCCAGCTCACGCCAGGGCCCCTCTCCAACTGCCCCCCCAGGCACACCTCCTTTCCCCTCCCACAGTTCCCTGGCCCATCTGGGCTACTTTTGTTTCTCCTAGCCACACCCTCCTCCTTCTTCCAAGCCCCTTGCTTTGGCCCCTGCCTCCTCAGTCTCTACACCAGGGCTCTAGAGACAGGTTTCCCATTCCTTCAGCACTGAGAGGCCACCTCTTTTGTGCCCTTCAAGCCTGACACTCTGCTGCCCTACCATCTCGTCACCTACCTCCTCCACTCAGCAGAGCTGTTTGCTGCTTTTGCCTTTTCCCTTTCTTCTGTCCTCCATACCAGAAGAGCCTTCTAGATCTGCCCCCTAGATTGCTCTGGTGTTCCCCTGTTTAAGCCTGCAGTGGCTCCCGGTTGCCTCTGAGCTGAGGTTAAAATTTGCAGCTTGGACTTGAATTTCAAGTCTGACTCCAGCTTAACCTCAGGACCTTGCCCCATATTAGTTGAGACTCAGGCTATAGTCGGGCCACTTAGACTTCTCTCCTCAGTCCCTGTGTCTTTGCTTGTGGTCTTTCCTGTGCTGACCGCTTGTATCTCTTCTTGGCCCTGGATGCCAATGGGCAGGATCTGAGCTGCACATTTCTTCAAGTCCCGCATTGTCACCGAGCAGGCCCGATATACACTTTCACTCAGAACAACTATCTTCTGAGCACTTCTCTGTGCTGTCCTTCATGCTGGCATCCCACACAAGCGGCAACAGGCTTTGAACTGTTAATTGCACAGGTAATGGGTGTTAGGAAAGCATACTAGTCGAACGGATGCACATCTGAAGTATTCAGAGTGCAGTGAGACAGCAGGAGACAGGTCGGTTCCCTGTTTCCACTCCTGAGTTGGTAGATAAGCCCTTTGGAAGAGCTCATCACCTTCCTTGATTTGGTTCTGTCGTTGCTCGTAAGAAATACAGAATCTCTGTCCATTGTGTCTTGTCTCTGGGGTTGTAGTACCAGATTGCTTGTTTGCTTTTTTTTTTTTTTTTTTTTGGTACCGGGTATCAAATGCATGACCTCACACTTGCCAGGCAGATGCTTAGGCCACTGAACTAAATTCCCAGCCCCTCAGATTGCTTGCTTTCAAATTCAGGGTCTGCTATCTGTTAGCTGGGTGACCTTGGACAAATTCCTAGTCCAGTGATGGCAAACCTTTCAGATTCAATGATACAAACAGCCCTCTGTGGCATACATGCCACAGGTCTGCCTCCACTGCCTCGGTCTCTTTGTGCCTTGATTTCTTCCTTTATAAAATAAGGATAATAATAATATCAACTTCACAAGTGTGTAGTAAGGATTAAATAATACATATCCAGTGCCAAGAGCAATGCCCACAGTTACTTGTCAAAAGGAAAAAACTGCTGGGCAGGGTGGCACATGCCTGTAATCCTAGCCCTCAGGAGGCTGAGTGTTGCAAGTTTGAGGCCAACCTGGGCTAAATAGTGAGTTCAAGGCCAGCCTGAATTACATAGTGAAATCCTATCTCAAACAAACAAAAAAAGGAAAATAAATTAATTAATCTCAGCAGAGTTTATTTGAACAATTAGAAACAAAACAGAATGAAATAATACCAAACAATGATTTGTGAATTATTCAGTCTCCAGAATCAAAGGAGACTCAGAGAATTCCCACCAATAGCATGATCTAACAGCATTTATAGGAAACAGAAGTATATGTAGAGACAAGTTAATTGGTTACAGCTTAATTGGTTAATTGGTTCCAGAGCCTATTGTAATTAAGTAAAGCTCAGATACTGTGATTAAAACACATATTGGTTTGGTTTGTAAGTCTTAGTGCAGGAGTTTGGTCCAAATCAATGGGTTCCCACACATTTCACTTAACATACTGTAGTAATCATTTAGTAAAGATTAATCAACACCACTGTCATCGTAAACATGCCTGTTCCATGTGAATGAGTTGTCTTCGGCAACATGATTTTTATCCTTGTCTGTTGAAGAGATAGTTGGCTGCTCCTCAATATTCATCCTTGGTTCTGAGTACTAAGATCTTGATTTTTATCTGGCTCATTGCTTAGCCTCCCTTGTGGCTATGTGAGATCATTTGTTCAAATTTTGGTCAGTAAGATGCAAACAAGTGTTACAAAAGTAAGTGGTTAGTGCCTCTTTGTCTTTCCCTCTGTCCTATGGGATGTGATGGCTGAAGTTTTGGCTGCCATCTTGGATTGTGGAGATGAGGCCTTGTCCAGGCGTGGCTGAGGGGGAACAGGGAGCATCTGGGTTCTTGGCTTTGTAGAGTGGGTCCAAGGCCAGCCCTAGGCCCTTCTCTGGGCCTCTTTTATGTGGAAGAGAAAGAAACTTCTATCCCATTTTTTTTTTTCTGTAACACAGCTGAATTTAATCCTAATCTCTTCTTTCAGCAAGTCTCAGCTAATTTTAGCACAAGGCTACAAAAGGGAAAATAATTTTAAAAAATCAGTCATCACAACAAATCATGTACTCAAAATCAAGTATGAGAGACTTTTGGAGAACACAATGAAAAACAAATATAGAAACCAAAAAAAAAAAAAAAAAAAAAAAAAGAAAAAGAAAAAGAACAAAAACAATAACAAAAAACTAAAAACAAGAGTAATAAGCTGTGAGGAATCATATTCTGCTTACTTTTGAAAGCTTTTAATGATTTTGTGTGTATATCCACGGCAAGGCACCTTGTGTTAGCTCAAAGTGGCTAGTGTAACTCTTCGGGGAAGGCCATTTGGTAGTTGTTAATACTTCTGTGAAGAGATTGCCGAAGGAAGAATTCAGGCGTATTGAAGAGGTCATGCGCACTGTGAGCAGACATTTCTTGTTGCTGCGCAGCATGGAAACCTGCTCTCGTGTTTGTGGGCTCACTTCCCCAGGTGTCCTCATGGTTCCATGGGAGGACACAGTTTCTGTGTAGCCAAAGAAGTGCGCTGCCCTGGCTTCCTTCACCTGGGGAGCGAATGGTTTTAGAAGGAGTAGTAGGAGGAACCCCTTCCTGGGGTGGTGTTGGTGATCCCAGTGGTGACTTGGTCCGGGGGTCCCTGGCTGGTTTCTTTGGAAATGTGGTGTTAAGCAACCCTGGGTCAGGCTTAGCTCACAGAGCCCTCACCTGGTTGTTTGCAGACAGGATCTTTCTGAATTGTCCAGGGGAGCCTCAAACTTCTGATTCACCTGCCCCAAGTGTCTGGGATTCTAGGTGTGTACCCCTGGACGTGGTAACTACTTTTTTTTCTTCCAGTGAAAGATCCCAACTCACAGGGATGCATTTTATTTGTTTATTTGTGCTGGTGATTGATCTCAGGGCCTCATGCATGCTAAGCACATATTCTATCACTATTTTTATATCAGAATTTATATCGGGTTTAAATCAAGATTCTTTGCTTGGCAGCAATAGACATAGAGTGACTTTTCTGGGAGACTTTCCCGGGAGTCCAGGCTGGGGCTGGGAAGAGTTGAAGCTGCTCTGTGGCTTTTGGAATCAGCCTTCAGTGGTGGGTCAGACTGGTGGGGTGACATGTTTCCAGACAGACCTGTGGCTTTGTCAGGTTCCAGGAGGAAGAGCATGCATCCCCTTAGCTTTCATTTGCCTCTTCACGTTTCTCCATCCCAATCCATGCCCTGGTTGGCTGGCCTCAGCCCTTGGCTTCCGACTGGGTCAGTCAGTGAGGATCTGCTGCTGAATTTTCAGGGATGGAGGAGAGTAAAGTTGGGGTATTCCTTCCCTTCCCCATTGGTCCTACAAGCTAGCCTATTTCTCTGCGAAGGGTCTCAGGTCCTGGGTGAGTGGCCTCTATTTTTGTTTTTTTTTTTCGGGGGGTGGGGGGAACCAGGGATCGAATTCATGACTTTGCCCTGGGTGGCCTCTTCCCACAGACCAGACACACACTACTCAAGTCCAGCTGGCTCTGGCCCTGGTGTAGCTTGTCTGCTGTCCTCTGAACTATGCCCAGCTTGCTCTGTTCCCCCAGCTGCCCCATGTGGAAGGCATCACTGGCTTCCAGGGAACAATGGAAGGCACTGGCGGGAGCTGGGAAAAGAGCGGGATGGGGTACTTCTCCCTGGCCTCTGTTTCACTGGGCCTGCAGTTTTGGACAATAGCTGCAATGCAACACCCTCTACCACCGTGTCACCTCCTAATTACAGCTCTGCTCTAACCTTCCACCTGGCCTGGCACAATAATGGCTCTCACTTTTGCTAGTCTCAGGACGCCTCACACCCCATGTTGCATTCTTATTGCTCACACCCAAGTCACAGTGTCTTTATTAAATTCTCTTAGATAAAATAAAACAACCTAGTACACCTTTGGTTTCTGCCAGACCATGAGTGACACAAGATTTCTCTTTGATTCCCTTCCCCTTCCTCTTCCTCTTCTTCCCCTTCTCCTCCTCTTTCTCCTTCTTCTTCTTCTTCTTCTTTTCTTCTTCAGACAGGGTCTCACTGTGTAAGTAGACTGGCCTTAAACTCACTATGTAGCCTAGGCTGGCTTTGAATTCACAGCAATCTGAGCCTCAGCCTCCAAAGT